CATTACCATTACCAGTGATGCCTCTTTCAAGGAACTGTGTATCTACTCCCCACGGCCCTTCCATTAACTGTGTAAGTCTTGCCCTGGTTTGTCTTACCAAAATGCAACACCTTGCATTTATCCAAGTTAAAGTCTATCTGCTATTCCTTGGCCCATTGGCCCAGCTGTTGGGTCTCTTAGTCTGAAATAACTTCTACTGTTCATTATACCACCAAATTTGGTGTAATCCGCAAACCTACCAACCATGCCTCCTATATTCACATCCAAATTGTTTACATAAGTGACAAACAGTGGACCCACCACCGATCCTTGTGGCACACTGCTGGTCGCAGGCCTCCAGTACGTATAACAACGCTCTACCACTACCCTCTGTCTCCTACTGTCATGCCAATTTTGTATCCAGTTGCCTGGATCCCCTGTAATTTAATCTTACTAACCAGTCTACCATGTGGAACCTTGCTAAAGTCCATGTTGACAGCATCGACTGCCCTGCCTTCATCTATTTTCCTGGTCACCTCTTCAAAAAACTCAATCAAGTTTGTGAGACACTATCTCGCATGCACAAAATCATACTGTCTATCCCTAATCAGTCCTTGCTTTTCCAAATACATGTAAATTCTGTCTCAGAATACCCTCCAACAACTTAGTCACCACTGACATCAGACTCACCGATTTATTGTTCCCTGGCTTTTCCTTGCAGCCTTTCTTGAATGATGGCACAACATTGTGGCCAATAAATGCTGGCATAGCTAGTGATGCTCTCATTCCATGAATTAATTTTAAAATAAGGCATAAAAGTGGGCTGATTCCTTTAAGCTTGAATTACTTCAGTCTTTAAAGGAAATATTGAAAACCTTCGGAGAATATTTGAATGTATTGACTGGTTTCTTTTTAACTGATTTGTTGCAATGTGCTAAAATGTATCAGTGCTATGGCATTTGAACTGTGCAAGTCCTTATCAGTGTAATGTTAGGGATGTGTCTCCTGATGTTGGATTTATTTTGTTCTTTGCTTCATAAAACAAAACTTTTAATAGCTGAGCAATGATGCGTCGTGATTCGTGTCCGCTGGACTGCAAAGTCTACGTGGGTGACCTCGGAACTAATGGAAACAAGACCGAGCTGGAGCGGTCCTTCAGTTATTATGGACCTCTGCGCAATGTGTGGGTTGCACGAAACCCACCAGGCTTTGCATTTGTCGAATTTGAAGACCCCCGTGATGCAGCTGATGCTGTACGAGAATTGGATGGCAGGTATTGCGGATATTTGCACGTGAAGGGGAAGGGACTTTGAGACCAGCGCTTTAATGTGTACTTCCAAAAATTTAAATACCTAATTCTTGTTGCTGTACCATAGAGTCATAGACTCCTACTTGCACAGAAACAGACCCCTTAGTCTAGTCAGTCCATGCTGATCATAATCCCACATTAAACTAGTTCCACCTACCCGCAAGTGCTCATATCCCTCCAAATGTTTATTATTCATGAACTTATCCAAATGTCTTTTAAACGTTGTAACTGTACCTGCATCCGTTACTACTTCTGGAAGTTCATTCCACACACAAACCACTTTGTTTAAAAAAAAATGCTCCTCATGTCTTTTTTAAATCTTTCTCCTCACATCTTAAAAATATGCCCCTTTGTCTTGAAATCCCCCACTCTAGAGAAAAGACATTTCACCTTATCTATACCCCTCATGATTTTATAAACCTCTATAAGGTCACCACTTAACCTCTTATGCTCCAATGAGAAAAGTCCCAGCCTATCCAGTCTCTCCTTACAACTGAAACCCTCCATCCCCAGCAACATCCTCATATCTCATAATAATATCCTTCCTGCACCAGGGCAATTAGAACTGGACACAGTACTCCAGAAGAGGCCTCACCAACGTCCTCTACAATCTCAACATGACTTCCCAACTCCTACACTCAAGGTCTGAGCAATGAAGTCCGGCATGCGTAAACGTCTTCGTAACCACACTGTTTGCCTGTGACTCACATTTCAAAGAATTATGTGCCTGAACACGTAGGTGTCTTTGTTCTACAACACCATCCGAGGCCCTACTTTTAATTATATAAGTCCTACCCTTGCTTATTTTACCAAAATACAATACCTTGCATTAATCCAAATTAAACTCCATCTGGCACTTTTCATCATTTTCACTGTCCACCATACCACTCCATATTATCAAACTTTCGACAAGATTTAGTTAGGAGGCAGGAATGACCTGCAAAAGAATAATAGGAGGGCTAAGGTCAGAAAAATCCTGAGTCTTCGGAGGAAATTGCCCATAAGTGTGTGTGTGCTTTTCAAACCTCCGTTGAAATGTACATCGTGCTTTGAAATTGCTGGTGGCAGGCAGAATGGGAGAAGAGTATGTGCTTCTGGAATATGGTAGAAATCCTCTGGGCTGTGAACAAAGGCTGTTTGACGTGTATCTCCCTTAATCCTTCAGGTTCAAAGACAGTTTTAGTTTTCCTGTTCATGCTTAGTGTGATTGAGACTGATGAGGTCTTGAGCTGTTGATTATTGTCTCTGTCAGTCACTTTTGATCAGCAATTGGCAGAAACTGTGTCAAATATATTTTTTTCTCTGAGCTCAGAATCTGTGTTCTCCTGTCTCTTTTTAGAGAAGTGATTCTTTCCAGTCATTGGTCCACTAGTGCTGTGTGCCCTCCAGTACCTCACCTAAGTGGCTTTCTATATGCATGAACCTTATTAGAGAGGTTTACGTTAGCCCCAGTTCCTGTCCGTATCCAACATCTGCATTCATCTGTTCTGCAGTCGATTTTGCTAGTGGCATTCTAAGAGTAATAAATTCTCTCTGTAGTCCATAAGCTATGAAACTAATTGTGTTGTCCAGTTGTTGTTCTGACTGAGGTGAGCTGACAAAAATATAGACTGAGATTCAAAGTAGGCAACTTCTACTTGGTGGTTTGGAGCTACACAAGACAGTGCCTTCACCTGGTATGTCCCACCATTATGAAATGTTTAAGTTGTTAACAGTAGAATTTAGAACTGATTTCCTGTGGTCAAAGAGCAGTTATATTGTTGTAATTTTAACCTTTGAGGAATTATGAGTGATCTGTCATGTTGAAATTCAACTGCACTGGAGAAAATAGAACCTTTTTCCATTTTTGTGACTCCTTTATGGCCAATTGTGATCTCTCAATTGCAGAACATTGTGTGGAGTTCGTGTACGAGTGGAGCTGTCCTCCGGTGAAAGGAGGAAGCGCTATCGTGGGCCACCACCACCCTGGACCAGACGACCCCGTTATGATGAATATCGCCATCGCAGCCCACAACGCAGACGCTACTCAAGGTGAGATTGGATCCATTGACAGTAAGAAAAAATTATGATTTCCTTTTACCCCACGTACTGTCCCTTCTTGTGAATACGTACGCAAGCTGGAACAGGTTTGGGGATGGACAGGACCTCATTTGAGGTGTGGAAGCAGCACAAGGTTGAAGTTGGGCCCGTCATGTCCGCTGAAATGATGAAATTGTTGTTTTGTAAACTTTTTCTTGTCACGGTGACTGTGGTAGAACCACATAACTGCAGTGCTGAAAAATTGAAGAGATTCCTCTACAATAATATCTTAAGATCTGAAATTTTTACATTATACCCTGATCACTATATAGACACACATGTATTAACGATAGTATCTTTGAGGTCCTGTATTTTCTTATATTGGATTAAGAGTGGTCGGTGACTTCATTGTAATCCTCAGTTTATGAATTTCATTTAACTAAATGTGTTTTTGATTTGAAGACCTTGAAAGCCACTCTGCTTTATAAACACAGTTATCCCCTTTCTCTATTGCTCGCAGTGATATGTTTTTTGCTTTAATGCCCAACAATCCTTTTTACAGCTGTTTCATCAGCTGCCTGAATCTATCTCAAATTTGACTTTCCACCCATTAGTCACTCTCTGCAATTAAGCCTATTGAGTAGCTAGTTGAATACTGCAGAAAGAATCCAAAGTAGCCAACTTGAAAAGATAATTAATTGAACAACATGGAATAATCTGTTTGAAGTGTCAGTGAATTTCATTATCATTTGACAAGTTCACAATTGCTTTGTGTGCGTAGCAGAGAGCTGTATTTTAATTCCAGTTTTTGGGTCCCTGTGATTGGCCTTAGAAACCTTGAAGGGATCCTAGATGAAATTCTGTCACTACTATGACAAGCAATTCGGACTGGGCATTCTGACCGAAAGAGGGATGTGTTATATACTATAGGAGGTCTCATCTGTGGATTTAGTCTTAGAAGAGGGTGTTGCCCATTTAAGTCGGAATTGAGGTATTTTATCTCTCGTGATTGTGAATGTTTGGAAATACCTATCCCAGACAACTGTAGAGTTTGAACCATTGAATATATTCAGGGCTGAGGTAGATGGGCTTTTTAATAGATTGAGGAATCAAGAGCTTTGCGGGAACAGACTGGAAAGTGGAGTTGAGTCCATTATCAGATCAGCCAGATCTTACTGAATGGTACAGCAGGCTTGAGAGGCCAAATGGTCTATTCCTGCACATATTTCTTATGTTCTTATCAACTGCTGGGCTGAATTTTCAATTTCGAACACTCTTCATGAGTAATACTGTCAGAACAATTTCAAGGCAACAAGTTTTCAGAATCATAAATCACAGTGGAAATCAGTTACTTAGTTGCTATCAAAGCCTTGAGATGATATTGTTGGCTGGAAGTTGTCCTGTTGTGCTTTCTAATGTATAGTGGTAATCTCCTCTTGTGCCAGCATTTACTGTTACTGCACTTTATGTTATTGACATAATGATGTGTGCACAAGGGGATGAGTCATTGATGCTCCCACTTCTGGTCCAGAACAAATTGTGTGGTTATCAGGTGATACTGCTCCTGGCATAGAAAATACCTTGAGCAATTGCTACTTTTTCAAGATGTTATCAAATTGGAATTCAGTTTCATTTCTAGTAATTATTGAGGCTTGTGCCCATGAGATTAAAGGGAAAGAGGAGGATCAGTAAGGGTTCCCCTCCATCCTTGATCAGTATTTCGTCATTCCCCACTGGAAAGTACGTGTTGACATCAAGGTCAAGCTAAGTTGCCACGTACTCCATTGTGAAACCTTCTAAAAACTCAATGATCTCCATTCGTATCTGAAAATGTACCAGAGGACTGCTGCAGGCCATTAACACAATCAAGAATAAAAATGCCTTTTATGGGGAAAAAAATGACCAAAGATGCACTAGGCCTTGTTCAGTGCTAAGGATTGGTTTAGTCTTACCCGAAGATGTCAACTTTATTCTGTGCAAGACAATTGCTAATTGTGGATTTAAAGCAGCACTGGGAAAGACCTGAGTAAATTATCCACCTTGCTACATATGCCCCAGGCAAAACAGAGAAACATAACTTTTATTTAAGATAGTTACGTCTCCAATTGAAACGTGCCTTTTTCAGGTTCTGCTTAACTTCAATTTCAGTCTATGCTTTTTTGCTCATTTTTCTCATGGGTGTTATTCAGTAGCACCTGATAATCTTGTGCAGTAGGCCATAGTGAGGTTGTGGAATTGTGGTCTCTCCTTGCTCCAATCTAGAAAGAATTCCTGGGTGGGAATTACTTCTTGCACTCCTTTAGTGACAATGGGTTTCGTTAAGTCTGGAAGAGAGTCTATCCTGGGGATCTAGCTGCTTACTAATGTTAGGACAGCAATGAGATGTCTCTGAAATGCACTTTCGTACTTGGCTGCTAAACATAGAGCTTAAAGTGAGAAATGGGGATGTTTAAAAAGACACCTGACCCTAAAGCTACAAGCTTTAAAATACAAGATGGAGATGTACATCTTGTTTGCTACCTCTACCGAGTGATGCCATTTAAACTTTTAGATTTCTCTTGAACTTTTCTCCTTTGTCTATGATTGCAACAGGACAGCGAGTGAAAAGAAGGTCATGTAGCTGCATTCTGCAATATGAGCTACTAAGATGACAATTGTACTATCTCTAGTATATCAAAGTATAGTTTGTCTTTTCATGTAAGGATATTGTTCTAGAGTTTTAGAGATGAGATTTTACTGTTAGTGTTCCAGGCTGAAATGTTATGTTCATGTGTAGCTGTTGCATCCTCTATGCAAGCTATCAGCTGAGTTAAGATTTGTGTACTTTTATTGGCTAGAAGGTTCTTTGTTATCTAAAGCAGAAAGTTATGCAGGTTTATCTATAATTGTGCAATTTATTACACTTATCTTCATACATTAAATATTTCAGGGTTTTCCATATGTTCCATTCACAAATTCTATGTGAATTTTGGATTCTTTAAAACAATGTTGCTTTTTTTAATCAGGAGCCACAATTCCACATATTGTGTTTCTCAGAGGCCATTTTCAAAATGCTGACTGTAGGTATGCAGGCCAGTGCTTCCTTGCTCAACGCTCTCCTGTATATTTGACCATGACATCCATCATGGTTGCAATAAATCATGCTACCATTAGTGAAGGTTGCTGGATAATCAAGGGCAACAAACTCCTCTCTTGAGATACTGTTGGTTCTGATATAATGCATAGTTCTGTTCTCGTGCAATTTTCTTATACCGTGACATCGCACAACAGCCTTGCCATTTAAACTAATGGGGCTGGAATCACGTTATAGCCAATACAGGTAAGGAAAGTTCGTGTTCTACAAATAGCGATCTAAATTCTTCAATCGCATTAAAGCCAATTCACGGTGAAGAAGCATGCGTTATAGCAGAACTGACTGCACAAAGATCAGTGGAGGGTTTGGTTTCCCCGGCTGAGACCAATTGTTGTCATAAGTCAAGGATCAAACTTCATACGTTCTGGCTTGGTCAGGTGTTAAGACAGAACCTGTTATCTTTCAAAGTTTGCATTTCTCCTTGAGTTGAGAGCAGGCCTCGTGATTTCCAACGGTTCAGATGTGGCCTTTGAGAACTGCAAAGTGTTAGCGCTAACATTTATTGCAATTGTTTATCAGTGCTGAGTCAAACCAATTTCTGGAAAATGGCATCTTGTTTCTAAACCTGCTTTGTGGTGATCTGGTAATAAATTATATGATGATTGATTTGCCAAATTGTTCATGGTCCCTCTTGGACCCCATTATACTTCGAATAATGCAGAGGAATGCCGTGTCCTGTAAATGCAGGAAATACCTAAAGTTGGGGGTTGGGGCAAGTTTTAAACATTATTGGGACAATCAAAATAGACAACTGTTTTGACTCAACGCTTAATACTGTGACAAAACCTGACAATTAGAATTCTCTTCTGGTTTTAAATCAGTGTTGAATCATTGCGTCTAATACTGATGATTGTATTTAAAAGTTGAATGAAGTTCCATCTTAATTGGTTAGATAGTAACTGGTGTTTCTGTGCATTTTTTTTCTTTTGATGAAATGTGCAGTTGAAACCCACGCACTCACCCCCTACCCCCCTTTCAGAGAGCGTCCACTTCTCCAAGTCTGCATTAGCCAATCAACTGATTGTGTCTACATCTGGGGGATCAGCGCGTCCCAATATAAACAACGGCTCACACTTCAAATGTCCAGCATTCACGTGTGTCTGTGAGTGTGTGCAACCGAATGACCAACCGCTCGACCAGCAAGTTTGGGTCCTTTTCTGCGTACCCCAGCACGCTGTTTAAAACAACCATCCCTTCTCTACTGTTTCTGCTGGCAGCCATAACGACCAAACAGCCAACGGGGGAAAATAAAATAACCATCTGAAATCCTCTCGATTCATCTGTGGGGTGTGGTTGTCCGTCAGCCTTTGCAAACCCAAGGCCCGCATCGGCAGTAATCTGGTATCAACGCACTCTAAAAGGGGCTGCTTCGATTGGTCTCCGTGCCAACGCACAGCAGATAAATTAATGCCTTTTTTATTTTTTTAATTCTACACTATACATCGTACATGAATCCAGCTTTTCAGGGCCCTTTTTAACCTCCCCACACTACCATCGCCAAATGCCACGCCCTGCAGACGGCTGTTGATTTACTATAATGTTGACTATTCTAGTAAGTTTTATCTGCTTTTTATGTTTTGAATCGAGAATTCGATCTGTATTCTTCCCATTACCACTGTTCCATTATTAGCAGTTTTCAAGCCCTTTCCCTTCTGGGACCATTCACACCTCTGTCCAAGTGTTCGTAGCCATGGACTCAAATTTCTGCATTTTCTGGAGTATGAAGTAATTTGTTCTGTGTTGAACTCTAACTGTTCCCTCAGAAAAAAAAGATAAAATTCTGGAGAATCACTCAATTCTTGTGTGGGCTGTGTATCCGTGCATTGAAAGCCTCCTCTTGGATGCTGATAGGTAGCCCGGCTGTCTGCTTCCGTTTTGTTTTTATTCAACTTTCATTTTTGCCAATTAGCTTGATTTGTGTTGTGGCGCCAGTTTAGAAGTGCCTAAATCACTGCTAAAGGCAGTCTAAGAGAGGAAGCCTGTGGCGCAGCGTAATAATATTGTGTTATCTCTTATGTTATTTGCTGCAATCTTCCCATTCCCTTTGAAATCAGGCAGCAGGCCTGTCGTAATTCTAAATTTGAACCTACAGCATGTCCAGCTGTGGAATAGTCTTCAGCTGGAAGTCTGTTCTATATTTCCATCCCCTTTTTCCAGCAAAGACAAGAGAATGATTATGGGCAATTTTAGTTATCCCAGTTTCCAGGTATCAAATGGAGAACCACTGTTAGTTTTTACCCAATAGCTTTTGTTAACCTCTCCCTTTTGATGAAGGTACCTGATCTTCATACAGCATTAGCCTGAAGTGAGGAGCCGCTCATTTGAGCAGTTGTACATGTGTCTTGTCATTTTTTGGTGCGGGTTGTTGCATCCTTTCAGAAAATCCTTTGGAAATTGTAACTGGGCCAGGCTTAACACTCTTCTAACTGAACATAGAGTGTAAATGCCGTTTGAGTTTCCATTTGAACCCGTAGTCAGAGCCTGTAGCAAAAATTGACTTCCATTGCTTGCATTCTGCACCTTTCTGATCTGCATGGTTAGATCCCACTTTCCATAAAACTATCCCAGTATCATGTGAAATCTCGAGATAGGTTTGGAAGTTACTTACCTGCAGTAACTGTAGCCAATACATGCACCTCCAACAAGCAAACAGCAGTTGCTTTTTAAAGGATCCTTTTAGTAATAGGGCAATCTGTTGTAAACCAAATTGATCAGTTGGCCCTACTTCACAATCCAGACCTTGCAGATTGCGGTTGGCTTAATTTTAAAATGAGTCCTTCGCTAGGAGGGCAATGTGGTCCAAGTCATGAATGTCTCTGACTTCTGTCAACACATTATTATTGAGCTTGCAGACACATTGGCAGCATGGTGGCTACCAGGCTGTCTTAATCCAAACACATTGATTTATTTAAAGTTGCTTGATGTTTTATCATAATAAAGATGACCTAAGATCTCGGTATTGATTAAACATTTGGGGCTGAATCTGCATTTGTAAATGCCCAACTCTATATATAATCTAGCATTGGTCCTTGTGGAAAGGGATCTCTGCTGCCAAGCCATATCAGTTGAGTGTGTGTGGTGCAAACACTGCTTCGAGATGCCCATAGTCGTGGTAAAAGAAATTACCAGTCGACCACTCTGATCCTGATAACTTTTTTTAAAGAAACTAGTGAGGGGCTGGTGAAAGAGTCCTGAAGCTTTCACAGAATCAGATTTAACATTTCTTGGGCACAGACATGAAAAATTGCTCATTAAATTAGGTGGACCTGTAATTGCATTAATGCCAGTATATCATCCAGTCTGTTTTGTGCTGAAATAGGGCAGAAAGTTAAAACATGACTGATGATTGCTAAAGTAGTCTGTTTAGCTCATTTTCACCATAAATTCCCAAATAGGTCATGCCAAACTTGGCTTTTCAAAAGCCTGAAGATTGAGAAAAAGGAAGGGTTCCAGAAACTGTCCCACTGAGTTCCTGGCAATGAATAAATCAGAGTAGATAGGCATGTTGAGGATTTTATAAGGAGAAATGCTGTGTAAGATGCTTTAAATTATACCAGGAAGGTTCAAGGATAATTGATCATTTTGTTAGCATTAAAAAAGCAACAAGGTGAGGCACAGGTTGTGAAGCTTCCTCTGCTGGTCCTTACCTACCTGACTCTGGGAGTGAGAGACCCAAGGTCCACAGTCCTGAGGAAGGAGGACAGCAGTAGTGAGTAAGTAAATTGAGGTGTACTTTTTTTTGGGGTGGGTATTGGTTTCTCAAGTGGTTACTGTCTTCAAGGTATCCATTGATTGTGCTGGGCACCAGACTTCATTATAGGGATAACAATGGGGAGGGCAATTAGGATTAACTTGCCTCATCCAGGAGAACAGTAGCCCCAAATTTTTTTTGTGCCAAAAACATATCACTAAATGGTGGTAGTGCTCTTAGCTGGAATAAGACTGCATTTTTAAAAAAATTTAGTCTGTCCATTTTGAAAATGGCTGCCGAAACATGTTTAGCTAAATGCGTAATTTTGATTGGATCTAAAATAATATAACCAAGTGAATTTGGCTGTTTTCACCAAATATTTTTAACACTGTGATTTTAAAGGATATATTGAGTTCTTGCACTTGCATGTATCCAACCAAGCGTATTCATTTTTTTAAAAATTGTCGATTCTGTAGGCATTTGCCGACTTATTCATAAAATACACCGACAGCATTTAGACATAGTAAAATGGGGTGCGGAGACAATCTGATTTGGGTTATTCCGTAAGCAGTCGTATTTTTTATTCAAGGGTTTTTTCCTTCTACATTTTGAGGTCCCTCCATGTTATTGTGCTCAAGTAATGGGAGTTCTGGCACTTGGCAAAGGTTGGTCTTGTCTAATCTTGTACCGTATGCTCCACAATAGGTCTCGATCCAGAGAGAATCGACGTCGCGAGCGATCTATTTCACGGGACAGAGTACGCCGAGAGCCATCAAGATCTTTCTCCAGATCTCTCAGGTTAGTAATACCGCTGAATGTCTTGATTCAGATTCTTCCATTGGGATGCTTGGTGGAGAAGTACACTGATACAATATAGAACCATACAGATTTCAAGGATTCTTTGATTTGATTCCTGGATCATGTTGTGTTGGACAGGATAAAAGGAGAAGAAAAGAATTTTAGTTTTTGGGCTTTTCTTTATCACTATTCAGTAGCCTGTAGTGGAATATGGGAGTTGGTTGATTACTTGGCTGGATGGCTGGTTTTCAATTTAAGAGAAGCCAACAGCATGGGTTCAAGGGCTCTCCTTCTCAAATTCTCAAGTTGCCTGAGGCGTGGTGACCCCTAGGTTAAACCACTACCAGTCATCTCTTGCTAATGAGAGAGTACCCCTATGGTCTGGTACTTTACCTGTACTGGAATAGCTTGCATGTTGGAGTACCAAGTGTGACTCTTCCACTTACTTGAAAAATTGACAATTGGGCTGCGATACGTAGGGCTTCCAGAAAATGTGGGCGTGGACCACCCCCATCATTCAGATCTTTCAGGACAGGAGATGCAAAGGCCAACAAAGAACTACAGTCAGTTCTACAGAAGTTGAAGGATATTTGAATGATCCAAAGCCTTGCAATAAAATGTTCCACGTGCTTTATTTCATGTGCTTTTGATATTTTTTAAAATTAATTTTCCTCTCCTACCATTTCCATCAACAGTACGGTGGTGATGGCGACAGTGAAAGGTTAGGTAACATATTCTAAAGCCTCCACTTGGTCTCAAATGTTGAGTGTTCAGGGATGACCTTCTAACTCTCCTCCACTATGGTTTCTATCCTGCACATTAACTTGTAACAAATGGGGAAAATTACTGTGTACAGTGCCCAGGCATACAGGTTTTAACAGCCTGTTGGGTCCATACAAGAATATTGGTGTGAATATCTCCCAGAGGCGTTTGTCAACTTTGATGATCACAAATGATATTTCAGTCTTTAAAGAATTTGCAGCTATGTGAATTATAATCCCATGCGACCCAGAAACACTTTTATTTTTACTTGGCATGTGTGACGAGTGACTAGCTATGTATTTCTCAACACTCGCTGTAAATGGCTAAACAGAGGACTAAATTATGATGGATTCTGCGGTGGTTTGTGCAGGGTTTGATCTAGTGGAAGACTAAGTGCAATCTTGAGATTGCTCTTGACCACTTGTATGCCTTAATTGTTGAGCAATTTGCTGCTGATGTTGCAATGAGTAGCATGCCGAGGGGCTGTCACAACAAGCAGATAAATGCATGGCAATGAAAAATACTAATGGGGTCTTTAATTAAAAACAATTGATGAATGGTGGGGAAGACAAGGGAAATTAAGAGCTTTGCTCTGCAGCACAGTGTGAAAATTATAAGGGTATATTTACAAAGTACTGTTTCTGCCAGCCAGTCTCACACGGTAACAACCCCAAGCACCTTCCAGTTGTAGAGGTGGAATGTCGCAGAAGCAGGACGATACCACTGTACATTTTAATCATGGATTACAGGCATTGTTATCTGAAAATCAGTATCTGTTTACCTAGTAGATCCTGAGAATCTGCCTGTGCTGTTGTGTTGGTTAGGACACGAGAAGGCATACAGTCTATCATTTTAATAGTCTTTCTGAGCTTTTGACTACCCTGACTTTGCTCTCATGTTGATTGTATTGCCTTCATCTGCCTAGCTCCTGAGTCCTGAAATTCCTCTGTAAGCACCTCTGCTGCAACTTCTTTGTTAAGACACTTCTCAAACCTACTTTGTTTAGCCAAGCTTTTGGTTAACTAATAATAAAATTAATCACAATATTGGCATGGTGTCACATTTAGATTTGTGCTCCTGTGAAGCAATTTGGAAATTTTACCTTGTTAACATTGTGCTATAAATGTGAGTTGTACCCCTGAGTTCCACCCCTGAGTTCCTTACAGCACTGAATTAAAAATTGAGCTCGGATGGCATCATGACCTTGACAGATGCAGAGATGTCTGCACAGTTGCTTCCAATTAATAATTATACCTAACATGCCAAACTATTAGTAACTTGCAATCCTGTCAGTGTGTCAGTCAGTATCTAAAAGTCAACAGGTTGGCTTGCAATATGTGTAGTCTTCTAACATAACAGAGCCTTGTAAACATTCACCTGCAAATTAAGTTGGGGACCTTTGAGTGCCAGTAACAACTTAGATTGTGATACTTGGAATTCCAGTAATACTTTTAAAGTTTGAAAAACACTGCCCTTGAGTCAAGGTGTGAAGCAAACTCTTGAACTTCATTTTGTCTGTGTTTTTGCCTCGTCACTGATTCTTCTTTGTTTCTTCTCTCCCTGCAGTCGCTCCCGGTCCATAGAGAGAAAGTAGCATCCGTGGTGGAAGCAGCCTCCTCTCCACTCCACCCTCTTGGCAGTGAAGAGTACCTGTTCTTCTCCTTCTGAAATTCTGCGATTGGTGAAGGTTGAAAAGCAGCTGGGAGAGGGAGAAGTTTCTTTGTGGGAGAGAGGGGCTGAAATTTGTTTTATTGAAGGATGAGCATTATTTAGTAGCTCTCAATTTTTGGGACTTTTTTAAAACACAAAGACAAAAAAAAAACTTATGACTCAAAAGCTATGAAAAATACTACTGCTCACCAGAGAGGGGTGTCAGACCAGTGTTCGAACAGTAACAAAGCCTATATTCATTCTCAGTAACTTGTTTCATTTACATATCCAATAATCTCAGTAGCTTTTCACAGAATCCTTTCAGTGTTTTTACTGCTTATTACAGTGCAATGAAAGGCTATTGTAATGGACGTAGGGTTTTTTTCCAGCAAGGTATAGTACCCTTTTAATGTGGCACAAGTAATGCATTTGAACTACTTTTTCTTGAGGTCTAAGTTTGGAAGCGGGGAGGCACCTTTCAGTTGAGAGTGGCACTCAGGGAAGACAATGTTGTGTTTGGGATGATGAAGCAAATGGTAGGACTGAGACTGGAAAATAAGATTACAGAAAGCTGGCCAGTAACTGTTGCTTGACCTTTGTGCAAAAAGACGAACGATTCTTAGAATTCTTGGTAATGATGAAGGGATCTTTACTGATCGTGAAAGTGGCCAGTGTTTGTCACCTAATAGGACTCCCGTGCTGCTTTACCGGTTGTGATTCTCAGGATGTATTGTTCACTTCTCGTCCCTGTTAGTCTCACTGCTTCTGACAATAGCTCTTGAGATCTGTGCCACTCTATGTTCTGAGAGTTTCTACAAGCATAGAAATTTCCGATTTTTTTTCAGTACACATTGGCGGCAGCAGAAGAACTTGGTAATTCTAAATTAAGCAACTACAGCGACATTGGTGACAGCCCAGAGAGGACTCCCAGGACCCTCCTGCCTGATGGCAGGCACTATTGTCCGTCTGCTTCAGCTTCTCTTAATTTCTGTTCCCTTGGCATTCCAGCTAAAGGATTTTGAAAGATAATTCATGATCTTAAGGTGTGGATTTGATTGTGTGATGCGCTCTTCATCTTGAAGAGTCCAAAGTGCATTGTGGAACAGGTACTTCACTTTGACTGCCACATTTTGTCAAAAAGCTGAGACACATGTTGCCAACAAGCCAGCATTAATTTTTCTTTTGGCTTCCAAACCTACAGCAGTTCTGCTGAAAACCTTTCACCTTCTCTTAACTACTGCTGATATTGTAGTGCATCAGTCACCACTCTACAATTTATTTCAGGAGCAATTTTTGTGAACATTTGACTGCAAGCATTCAAACGGAGTTTGATTTGTGTTCCTGTTGCATCTTGGTGCTGGCTGCTTGATGTTCTCTTTTTGTTTGGATGTAAGAAATTATGAAAGCACAAACAGGAAATCAATCTACTCAGCAGAAATCACATAATAACCATTGGCTTTGATCAGATTGGGGTACTGTATTGTTTTAGTAGGATGTCTCTCAGCTCATTCTTTCCTGGGTCAGTTCCCTGAATCGAAGTTTAGAATGCAGGCTAATATTTTCTCACTGTCTAGTTCCTCATGCCTGCTGTCTAATGAAAACTTGTGTTATTGGGTATACAGCAACCATCCAAAGTTCTTCTGTTTAAAATTAGAGTTCTAAATATTTAAATTGCTAAGAATGAAGTAACTATAGAATTTAATACCTGTTACAAACATTCAGGAGCATGCCCACATGAAAGGAAGTGGAATGGGGCAGTAGGAGTGAAAGCACATGGACTTAGTCTTGCTGCAGCAACTCACTTGTTCGTCGTTGTTATTTTGCCTTGGATTTTGTTTTAAATAACCATTTAATTCTCCACAAGAATAAAAATTTCTGAGTCCCTGTTTGCTCCATCAGATGTAGGAGAACACTTGCTGCTTCATGTGAAATACTCATGGACCAAATCAACCAATATAGGAAGAGAAGAAAATGTTCCTCCCTCTGCCACTTCTCCCCTCTCCAATACCTGTTCATTTATGTTGTGTATTCCCATTGCAGTTGGTGGAAAGGCATTGGGTATGGGAATGGCAGCTATGCCAGTATTTCATGCATCATTCAAGCCCTCCAGTAACATTGCCGGGCTACAATAAACTGCTCTAACAAGGTGTGGAGCTGGATCATACTCCAGCATCAGCAGTTCCTCTCGGCTTAATTCAAGTTGACAAGATTGCAGAATAACAGCAAGTACTGGATGAGTTATTGTGCTCCTCATTGTTAGAAGTAACATGTACCTGGATATTAGGGCAGTGAACTCTGACTACTGCTTCCTAAATAAGAGCAGCTGCTGAAGGGTAAATTAGTAGAGGGGTTCCTATGCAAACTTGACTAAGCTTGACAACAGTTAATGGTCTAACCTTCACTTTAATCAAGCTCTTTTACCCAGTCATCTGACTAGGTCATTCCAATTATTCTGTTAAGACTTTTAATTCTGTTTTCTGAACATCCTCTACCCCCAACTCTGAAAGCATTCATAAACATGATTTTCATTTCTTGATGTCACGTGGATCTGTTGTTTTTGAGATCAATATTTTGGTATTTCACTGTTAGAAGTGAGGTCAGTAGCCTGTTTTTAAGTGAATGTTCTGAAGATGTACACAAAGCCTGTCACTTTGTTTGGGAGCCTGTATAAATTGTTTTATCTCAAACATACACTGGCATTCACTAGCCCATAATGTGTAGTTTATTAGTGGAAAAGTCACCAAAACCCATTTCTCATTTGGTTAGTTTTGGAATGCCACCCTAGAGAGGGGCAGCCCTAGAAAATGTTTAAATAATGGAGTGTAAAATAATTGTCTCTAAACCATCAATGTTATTTTTCATTGAACTAGAGGTGGCATGTTTGGAAAAATAGAGTTTCTGCATTTGCGCAGGAAGAGACTGTTGCAGTGCGCCTACTACTGTGGACTGATTTTAGATTAAAAACGTAATTAATTGGGAGCAGTTATGTCCACAGGTTTGCTCCATTTTGTTTCCAAATTTGCTTATTAAGCACTGTTTACCTCATCATTGTTTATCAGAGTAATGGATTTTTAGAACAAAAACTGTCTGCATGGTACTTGGGCATTTAGCTATTTTACAGTATACTTGCTGCGACAACCTCAGTAAAGACAAGTTCCTGGAACTGTTATGTATTTACAAACCCTATACCCTGCGACAATTTAACCTCACTCTGTGAAAAGCTGTATGAGAGTCAAAATGTCCAGGTGCACATTTGCAAGTGTTTCTTTCCTTGCTGTTGGACAAGCTGTTCAGTTAATTAAATTTTTGATTTTTTTTTAAGAACCCAGAGCCAGGTTAAGTTGTTGTGTAAGTATTGGAACACAGTACTTAATAGCCCTTGGTGTGACATGAGCTAAGAAAATGGTTTTTGATTGTCTACCTGAGATTATTTTGTGGCACCAGCAAAGCATAGCAGAGTCCTTCTGATGTCACTGGACATCTGCAACCAAACTGTTGACACACTTTTTTTTAACAGGACTATTGATGTGAGCTGGATTGACGTTTTGATATCTGTTTTCTTTTGTTCTGTGTTTGTCAGATTTCAGCATAAAGGTTATTACAACCCACCTGTCATCTTTAGTGCGTTGTTTGCAGTCATTTATGAGCTACTCCTGTTAAAATGTTTTTACTACAAAATTGCTTTCAAACGTACGTACGTATGCGCACGCGCACATACACACGCGCACACACACAGCAGCAGCAGCCTGATTCTGCACACTCTCCAGTCCTCAGATTTTCAGCTGTGAAGGCTGTATGCACAGAAGATTTCACAAATCGATGGTAGCTTCAAGTGTTTGTTGCAGGGACTCGATAGGGTGGATGTGGAGGTTGTTTTCTCCTTGTGGGAGAGTCTAGGACCAAATGACATAATCTCACAGTAAGGGTTAGCCATTCATGACAGAGCTGAGGAAGAATTTCTTCTTTGACGGTAGTGAAACTGGAATTCTTTACTGCAGAGGACTGCAAAAGCCTGGGTTATTAAATATATTCAAGGCTGAGATCTTTTAATCACTATGCGAATCAAGGGTTTTGGGGGATAGGAAGGAGAGTGGAGTTGAGGATTGTCAAATCTGCCATGATCTGCTTTAATGGCAGAGCAGACTTGATGAGCTGAATGGCTTACATCTGCTCCAACATCTTTTGGCCATACTGTTCCATTTGCCACTGACCAACATATGCCACTGCCCTTGATAATGCTGGTAGCTGTGGGAGGAGGCTGCGTGGGTGAGGACGACACAGGCTGGACAAAGTGACTGCGTACCTCAAGCTGTTTAAAGCTGAGAGACTAGAAGGAATTTCTTCACTCAGGTGTTGAATCTTTGGAATTCCCTGATCCAGAGGGATGTGAATGTTCAGACATTGCATATGTTTGAGATTAGTACATGTCTATATATTAAAAAGGAATTGGCAGAAAAGTAGCTTTGAGGTAGAAGATTATCCATAATCCATGACAAAGCAAGCTTGAGGTGTTGAATGGCCCATTCTTCCTTTTATTTCTTAGGTAGCACCGAGAATCTTGCAAATAAACAAGTCCTCTAGCAAGGACCACCATCTAATCACCCTTTGCTTTTCACCAATGCTGACATCAGAAACCAACAGATTAATGGTTTCAGTTAGTAGAATCTATACAGTATTCCTTCTTTAAAATTCAATTTTGAGTTTAAGTTTCACAAAGATGTTGGAAACGGCCCTTAAAGAAAAGTAATCATGGTGAATTTTGTAAGTACAGAAATGTTATGCCAGCTTTAATAATGTTTAATTGCCTAGTGGTATTATTGCTAGACTATTAATCAAGAAACTCAGCTAATGAATGTTCCAGGGACTGTGGTTCAAATCCCACCACAGCAGATGATAGAATTTGTATTCCACAAAAGGAATCTGAAATTAAGGTTCTAATGATGACCATGAAACCTTTGCTGACTATTAGAAAAACCCATCTGGTTCACTAATGTCCTTTAGGGAAGGAAATCTGTCATCCTTACCTTACATATGACTCCACAACAATGTTATTGACTCTTAACTGTCCTCTGGGCAATTAGGGGTAAACGCTGGCTGAGCCAGCGATGCCCTCGTCCTGTAAGTGAATTTTTAAAAAAGCTCAAGATGAGGGCTAAAACTATACCACAAAATTTGGTAATTTGTTTCATCCTGTAGATGTTGTGAATTTGGTGCTCTGCTTTAACTACACCTTCCACTTCATAACCTTACCCAAACAAACAACACAATGTCAGCCTTTTATGGCAGAATACCAGATTTCCAATGACTATTGTGTGATTTCCCAGTTTCATTCCTGAATAGCCTATATCAAATTTTACAGTGCTGTTGATTCTCCCACCAGAGGACATTGAGCAATCAAAGGTTCTTCTGAGCTCTCCCATCAAATTCTTTTAATGTTTAGAACACCTTATTTAGATCATCTGTAAGATTCTAAGCTCAGTCATTTTTTACATAAGCTACCCTGTAACTTAACCCCTAAATTCAAAGGGTATTTAGATGGTTATTTGACGAGTTATGGAGGTCTGCAGTGCAGCAAAAGGTCCTTTGGCCCAATACATTCGCACCAGTCAAAAACTTTTTAAATCCCATTTTCCAGCACTTGGCCCATAGCCTTGCCATTGCAAGTGCTCATCTAAATGCTTCATAAATGTTATGAGGGTTTTTGCCTCTACCATCCTTACAGGCAGCAAGTTCCAGATTTCCACCATCCTCTAGGTGAAAATGTTTTTCCTTACATCCACTCTAAACGTGCTGCCCCTTAAATATGAGGAACAATGTGCAGGCAGAAGGCAGGTGAATGATTCTGAGTGTACTGCTGTTTTGGAGAGTTTGGGCAGGGCTAAAAAGACCCCACCTACATTGTAACAGCTCTGAGATTTTGTAACCTTCGGTATTTGGTGAATCTACTGCAACTCAAAGACCAAGATGTTGTTTCTAAACTATTTTGCCCAAAGCTGAGTTCCGAATGTATGACTCAGGTAAGACTTCCCATTTTGTTTGTCTGTTTCTAGATTGCTCTTTGTACCCGTTCATAAGAAGGATTGGGTAATTTGGTGACACAACTGCTGTTTTCATGTTTTTGGATGTGTGCCAGATAAATTTTTAACTTCAAGGACAGCCAAATTGAAACTTGATTTAGCACCTGCAAATTTTGGCATCATTATCTCTGGGCTAGTATCTCTCATGTACAGATTGTATAACCCTGATAGTTCACTTCTACTTTTCTGGCTGCAATCTTAGGAAACATTTCACTGACAGCATTGTTCAATTTTTTTTTTTGAGTTCTTCTGACCAACTTCTGAAAGCATGTTTTTAAAGTGTTGACCCTGACTTAAGCAGCAAGTTAGGGATCATGTTGCACTTGTTGCTTCTTTTGCTTCAATTGAGGGAATGACTTGTCAAGCAATATTTCCCCTTGATGTTGTTCTTGCATCTCCCATTGTAGCAGTGATATTCTTCTGCCCCAGTCACTGAAAACATCTTTGTATTGTGTAAAACATACAGCTTAAGACAGCTCAGGCTGTATGTATGCTTCATCCCATCTCTCTTCATGTAAATTAATCAGGGAAACATTCCATTCCTATCCCTCATGCATTCAGTTTTGCCCTCTTAAATGCTACTATGCTATTTACAAATTCCCCTTCTGTACTTGATGTTGATTCATTACTTATTAGTTATTTGGCACTGTGCAGTTGAATTAACAAACTCTGACATTTATATTCTGATTAAGTGGTTTGTTAACAGCTTGATCTAGATTGAAGATTGCTGCTTGCAGGTGTGCTGCGGTGTTATGATTTAATTAACATCTTATTGTGTCTCCAAATCTAAAGTTCTTCACATTTAATGAATTGTTTTTGAAGTGTGATGCAGCACCCTATATGGATAGAAGTGGCAACCAGTTTGCACACAGCAAGGCCCAAGAAGCAGTAATGTTCTCTATTTGGTGTCAGTGAGTGCTGAGGGCATTGCAGTCCAATGTTGTAATATTCATAGATAGTAGGAACTGCAGATGCTGGAGAATCTGAGATAACAAGGTGTAGAGCTGGATGAACACAGCAGGCCAAGCAGCATCAGAGGAGCAGGAAGGCTGACGTTTCGGGCCTAGGCCG